CCGTGGACCTTTGCATTGACAGAGCAATCAATAAAGGGGAAGAAATGATTGCACTCACCTTGTCAGGAGCTAACGAGAGCCTAAAAGGGGAGAAACAAGGAACCGCTTCAGCATAGAACAAGCACAATAACAGAATGGCTTTTGTAATTAAAGTAGCAGAGAAGCCTCATGTGATTTGAGCCTAGGGAAATTCGACAGACACGGATGTGATCTTGACATCTCCTACCCATGTCCCCAAGAGAAGATCCTCCGTCTTGTCTGCTTCAAGAGTCACAATGAGGGCCCACGATGCTGCCACTCGATGCTGTCGAATCAGTTCCAACTCACAGCCATCCTGTGTTTAGAGTGAAGAGCTGCCTAGCTTAGTCCTCAGCCATCTTCACAGCCATTGCCACCTTTGAGCCCACTGTGGCAGCCAGAACATGAATCCATCTCCATAAGGGTCTTCCTTTTTTTTTTTTTTGCCTCTTTAACCACGCATATGTCCTTCTTCAGGCATTAGTGGTCCCAGTAACTAGTGAACATGTTTGAAATGCATGAGATAAAGTCTCACCATCCTCCCTCCGTCCTTCTTTCCCTCCCTCCCTCCTTCCCTTCTAAGTAGCATTCCTGCTGGCCTTCTTCCAAGAGGAAAATTTCTCATTCTTCTGTCAGTCCACGGAACAGTCAATAGGCTTCACCAACAGGATATAAATGTGCCGATTATTCTTCTGTTGTTCTTATTTCTCGTCTGGTATTCGCATGATTGTGAGGCAACTGAAAACACGGCAGCCTGAGATGTTGTTAGGTAACCCTTTGTTCGACATATCGAAACCTTGCCTGACTCTCTGCCTTCCTCATCACCTTTGACACAGGTCTGCACGATGTAACAGATCTTTTGATTTCTTTGTTGTTTTGTTTTTTCCTGTTGTATACGTTCATGTTGTTTCCGACTGGCGCAAGAGAAGATTGCTTCTCCTCCTGGTGGAATCGAACTGTTCACCTTCGAAATTGCAGTGTAGTTTCTTGCCACTAGACCACCAGAGCTTCCTCATTTGATTTTTTTGACTGCTGCTTCCATGATTATGGATCCAAGTAGAATGAGATCCTTGATAATGTCAATCATTTCTTCATTTATCCTGATGCTGTTTATTGGCCCAGTTGGGAGGGGTTTTGTTTTCTTTATGCTGAAGTTCACTCTCTGCTGAAGGTCTTAGTCTTCAATCTAACCAAGTAAGTACTTCAAATCCTCTTCCCTTACAGCAAGCAAGGTTGTGTCATCTGCACATTGCAGGTTGTTAATAAGGATCTACTGCACAGATGGGGTAGGGAGCTCTAGTGGCCTAGAAGCAAGAAGCTGCACTGCAATTCCAAAGGCAAGCAGTTCGAGGCCACCAGCTATTCTATGGGAGACGGATGGGCAATCTCCTGTGCGATTAACTGCCTCTGAAAACCCTCTAGAGTATCAGCTACGGGTCGGTTCTGACTCGATGGTACACAGCAACAGACAAATAGGGAATTCAGGAGCCCTGATGGTTTAGTGAATATGCATTTGGTTGTTTACTGAAAGGTTGGTGGTTCGAACCCACCCTATGGATTCTTAGGGAGAAATATCTCGTGATCTGGTCTCATAGAGACTGCAGCCTAGAAAACACCTTTGGGCTGATGCTAGTTTGTCATGTAAGGTGTTGTTGTTGTTGTTGTGTATCTTCAAGTCAGAATCAACCCAAAGTTGACCTTCCAGCAGATTTTCAGAGGCTGGAAATCGCCTGGGAGGAATTGGCCCGTCTTTCTTCTAGGAAGCAGTTAGTGGATTCGAACCGCTTTCCTTTATGTTGGCAGCACAAGTCCTTAGCACTAAACCACCAGGGCTCCCTCCTATGAAGTGAGCCAAACAGACTTGAAAGCCCCTAATGACACCACCGCCCAGCTCACGTGAGCATCACACGCGATGAACGATAGAGCTGTAGGGAAGAAATGGTAACTTAGAGATGTGGAAGGCGCCCTGCTGCAGTGGCTAACGTGCTCTGCTGCTGACTGAGTGCTCCAGGGTTTGAACCCATCAGCTGTTCCACAGATTATGGGCTCTGAGACTCAAGGGGACAGGTTGCCAGCATGAGGTCACATGGAGGTGTGGGATGTCCGGGGGATCAGCCCTGGGTCTCAGGCCGCCAGGCCCCCAAGCCCGACCCTCATGAGAGGGTCACACTCCTCCTGCTCCTCGCTCCCCTCCCCCTCCTCAGTCTATTCCCTCCACTGTCCTTCCCACAGCCCCGCCCCGGCCGACCCAGCCCCACACATTCGCACAGGCCCAGAGCTCACACCAGCTGCATCTGGGTTTGAGGAGAAATAGTCTAGCTTTGAGTCACCAGCCCTGAAAAAAGCTTTGAAACCTAAGCTGGCCACATCCGGCCGCTTCTGTCTCTAGCTGGGCTTTGGGGCTGAGGGTGGGGCTGAGGTTGTGTTGACCACACCGGCGGGGAGGGTGGGTATAGAAGTTAGACGTAGAACCCCTCCCTTCCTGGGCCTCCGCCTGACTGGGGTGACTTGATTAACTCTGGGGGGGGGGCAAAAGAGAGTCATAGAGTCATAGAGATTTGACACTTGGGTGCCCACCGTGTGCCTGACCCATTGTGCACTGTGGACACGTAGGGTGGTACAACGATGACCTGCATCCAACTGGTAAGCAAAAAAAGTTGGTGGTTCAAATCTACCCAGAACACTGCGGAAGAAAAGCCCTGGCACTCTACTCCCATATAGTCAAGAAAGCTCTTTAGAGTGGCCCAGTCACGTGGACTCTCCCTGAGTCAGGCCTGACTAGATGGCAACTCAGAGCAGAAATACCCTCCTGCATTAGCTTCCTCAGGCTCCAGCATGGTCCTGCCGGCGTTGTGGAGACCGTAATTCTCCCTACGTCAGAGATGAGAAAACTGAGCCTCAAAGACCAGACAAGGCAAATGGGGGAGATTGTGGAGACTTGAGCCCAGGACTCTCTGACTCCAAAGAAGCCTACAGTGCAGGCTGAGCTCCCTTCCCTTTAATGCCATGTTCATTGCAGACTTTTAAAGGTGATGCAAAAGGCACCAGGACGCTGTGAGCCTCATCTGGAGACAGACCTCATTACACAGGGACTATTATTTCTACTTTATAATAGAATCGCAGAGGCCCAGGGAGGCCTGGACAGGGGGGGTTGGGCAATGAAACATAGTTATTCAGTTTCCCACTCAAAACACACTTCATTGCCATGGAGCAGAACCAAGTCATAGCTAACCTACCTCTCCATTGGGCTCTGAAGATATAAGTTGCAATGGAGGAGACTGTCCATCTTTCTCGTTTGAAGTCACTAGTGGACTGGAACCATCACAGAGGCATGACCTTTGGGTTAGCAGCACAACTCCCTACGGCATATGCCACCAGAGTGGCCCATTAAAGCATGAGGGCTGAAGGGGGCCAGGAGGGAACATGCTGAGTTTCAATTTTCACATTTGTCAGATGTGCTAAAAAGAAATATCTCCTGAAGAAGGAGAGTTAGGAATTAGAAGAGGAAGTGGATTGCCCATCTGGTTACCTCCACCAGCAACTGTTTCCTTTGCTCTGAGACCAGAAGAACTGGATGGTGCCCAGCTATCATTCCTGAACATGATCAAAGATTCTATTAAGAATTCTGATCAAAAGGAAAGAATGCATGCAAAACAGAATTTCAAATTTTCATGGTATCTAAACTTTCTAGAGCCATCAAGGCCAGAGGAATCTCTGAAATAAATGTCCTGAGACATTTTTTAAACTTCAAACCTTAAAGCACAAGTCTCCCCTGAAATCTTGGAACCAGCAAATAATGAATGTTAATCTTAATCAGTTAAGCGTGTCTGTCTTCAGCGCTGTGCTCTTCTTAAAAGAGTTATCTACAGGAGCTCTGGTGGCCTAGTGGCAAGAAGCCATGCTGTAGTGTTGCAATCCCAATGGTGCATAGTTGGAATTCACCAGATGCTTCGCTGGAAAAGGAATAGCAATCTCTTCCTGTGCCAGTTGGATCTGATTTGATGGTACACACACACACACACACACACACACACACACACACACACACACACACACCTTAAAAGAGTATCTACAAGGGATCACATGGACAATGGCAACTTGAAAGGTTAGATGAGAACCTTAGCTAATGTTGAGTTTAAGCCAGGGGAGTAATTTGGAAAAAATTAGTGAGAATGCATGCCTTGTCCCCAAGTTGAAGACATACAAGATTTTTAAATGGTGTGTGGCTATATGTATTTTAACTAAAAAAAACCCCAGAATTATTATCCCTCCTAGGGCGCTTGTTGGCTGGCTGTGGATAGAGAGAGTGGACACTTGACTCTTTGTCCTCCTTGGGCCTCAGTGATGAGCCAGGTGTCCTTTGATTTGTTGTCGTTGTTGTTGATGATGATGATGATGATGTTGTGTACCTTCAAATCGATCTGACTGGTACAGAAGGAGATTGTCTCTCAAACAGTATGCCTCTGGGATTGCAGTGCAGCTTCTCACCACTAGGCCACCAGAGCTCCCCAGGTCTCCTTTGGTAGTTGAAGCAATGTGTTTCTGGAGCCCTGAATCATGACGTAGGCTGTGTGACCTGATGCTCATCAGATCACCATTCTGAGCCTCAGTTTTCTAATCTGGAAAACGGGAAGGAGACCCATCCTTCCCACTTGCGTTTGACATGTGTCTAATTGATTCTGACACATTATGAGCCCAGTGCTCCGTTTTCCAGGTAGAACTGGAAGCAAATCACCCTATCTGCCTTCTAGGGGGCCTCTGGGGCCCTTTTTAGCTCTCTATAACCATCGACAGCACACAGGGACTCCCAGGTTTGGAATGAGGGTTGCAAATAGTGCGCGCTGCGTGCCACCTGCCAGCGCACGGTTGCAGGATGCAGCAGGACCCTGCCCAGAGCGCAGCTGTGCTCGTCTGATGGTTAGGCCCTAGTTCACCATAGTCGAGGGCGGAGGACGCACGCAGGCGCACACGCACACACTCACGGTCCCGAGGTAACGATGAGGCTGCGCACTCGGTCAAAGCCACGGTCGCTCAGGTTCAGGCATTCCCCGGAGAACTCCACCCGTCGGCCCTGGAAGTTCTCCTGTTCGAACACGATCAGCTGCAAGAAAATAATCCCCCATGTTAAGGGGCAGAGTGAGAGGGAGACTACTTTCAAAAAAAGGGGTGCAAAACTCCCTAAAGCAAAACAGTGACCTGCATGAGAGTCTGTCCCGGGAGAGAGCCTGTAAAACTACCCTTCACCTCACCCACTCTTGTACTTGAAAATCTGCACCATCCTTTGGCCTTGGCATAGCTCCCTTCTAGACCTTTCTCTGTGCTGTTCCTCCAGCGTAGGATGCCCTCTCCAACACCCTTCACCATCCTGAAACTCGTACGGTCAAACTCACACGCCTGTCCTCAGCACATACACGTCACCTCCTCCAGGAAGCCTTCCAGGATGCCCTTTTCTATGGAGGGCTACCCTGTGCTTATTAATAGGTGCCATTGATTCACATGCAGAGCAACTCCATGTGACAGAGTGGAACTGCCTCAGTGGTGTTTTCTCGAGTCTGGCTTTTTAGAAATCATCCGAGGTTTTCTCCCATAGAGCTACTGAGCAGGTTCGAACTTCCAACCCTTTGGTTAGCACCCAGAGATTTAACTGTTGTTCCTGGCTGCTAGCTCAATAACATACCAAACAGTTCTTGCTACTTTGCTTGTGCGGCTCCCTCTATGCGCCCCTCCCTTCCTTTCCCCCACCCTCCAAGCAGGGTGGGACTTCCTCGAAGGCAGGAACTGGCCTGGCCCATTGCTGTGTTTCTAGCACCTTGCCTCCAACAGCACTCTGGCTGCACCTTCTTCACGACATATCTATTTGTTCTTTTGGGCATCCATGCGGGATGTTCAGTGCTCTTCTCCAACGCCACAGCTCAGAGGCATAAATTCTTCCTCTGTCATCCTTATTCATTATTATTCCACCTTTCCAAGAAATAGGCTCAAGGAATGTGAGACCAAACGTCACCATCCTTGCTTCTAAGAAGCATTCAGCTGCATCTTTTCTACGCTGGCCTAGTGGGAAGGAGCTGTGCTGCCATCGCAAAGGCACGCGGTTGGAATCCACCAGCTGCTCTGCAGGAGAAAGATGGGTAATCTACTCTGGAGCGGTTAAATTGCCTCTGAAAACCCACTGGAGGGTCAGCTGTGGCTCAGTCTAGACTCCACGGTACACAACAACAACAACAACAATAGCAGCTGCTGGCAAAGCTGAGGGACAGGAGACATGTGCCAGCCTTCGGACTGTAGCACCATGAACTCCATCCGGCTGGCCGCCTCCCACCTCATGGAGCCTTAGCTTTTGCTTCAGTTCAGCAGAGTCAAGCATCTTTGCTCTCTGTTTTCCCAGCTGTAAAAGGAACAAGAGTGCCTGGATGGTGCAAATGCATCACATACTCAGCTATGACTCTTAAACTTAGAGGCTGGAGTCTGCTGAGCAGCAGCCCCTCAGAAGAAAGGACTGGTGGTCTAATTTGGAGAAACCAGCTACCGGAAACCTTATGGAGCATGTCTACTCCGGCACAACAGAGGGCACCATGAGTACAGATAGACTTGATGGTAACTGGCTTTCCCCACGACCCCTGGGACTCACATGGCCACTCCTTCTTCCCTTAGGTCAATAGAACTCTTGCATGTACCTACGCCCCTGAAAATATAGACAAGCACACCCCAATCTCACTGTTTATGGGAGTAAAACCTAGCTGTGAGCCCCCACAGTCCTGCACAGAGAGGTGCAGGGGTCTACAGCAATCAGGGCACACTCTAAAATACAGCCCATCAACAGAGGCAAGTGGCCCACAGTGCCTTGTCATGCCATGGACGAAGATGAGGAATTTCATACTAAATGAAGGAGAAAAGAAAAGTACAGACTGGTGGTTATAATTAATGCCACCATGATTTTGACTCATACCTATCTGAATATGAAGTCATTGCCTTTCATATGTAAGAACGGCTTCTTCATAAAAGTCATAGTTGAGGAGGAAGAGTGGTTTGGTGGATTCGAACCACAGCCTTTTGGGTTGGCAGTGCAACTCCTTACCTACCAAGCCACTAAAGCAGAACACCTCTTGGGACTTCCTAGGCAGTAATCTTCACAGAAGTTGAGTCAGGTATTTTTTTTTCCTGTTGGAGCCACTGTGAAGTTTCAAATCACCAATGTTTCCGTTATCAGCTGAACGTTTGTCAGTTGTACCGCAACAACTCCTTTCTGGACTAATGTTGTTTTTAGATGCCGTGGAGTTGGTTGTCACTTAAAGCCCAACATATGTAGGCCTATGTCAATAAAAATGAGTCAATGAGGCTGGCTCAGGACAGGGCAGAGTCCAGAGCTATCGTACATAGGGTCGCTATGAGTCTCAGGCAACTCAATGGCACATAATAATGACAACAGTATTTCCATAAATTAAAAATAAGTAACACTGGAAGCACACTTCAAAGCATGTTGCGTTGCCAGGCAAAAGGTTGGGCATCTCCAGTGGTTTGAATTCTTCAGCTGCTCTGAGGGAGTCAAGTAGACAGTCTCCTTTGCTAAAGATTTCCAGCTTCAGAAATTCAGTGCATCAGAATTGACTCACTGAGGATGGTTGTGCAGCCAGGGTAAGACTACAAAGAGCAAATGATTTTAGAAGAGTAACTCAGAAAGGTAAAGAAAACAGGCAGATGACAGAGGGTGTCTGTCACCTTGATGGGAAAGCAGGGGGACTGAAAAACATGTTACAATCAGAAAGGAGATTTTTTTACCAAGTCTCTCGCCTTTTAGTAGTAGGAGGGGCTGGAGGGTTTGCAGGTCATCATTGCAGTACTAAAAGCAAATAAAAATTAAATGCCAGTTATCCGTTGCTGTGGGAGGCATAATCAGATAAGTGCATGACAGCTGACTGAGAGCTTGGCCGTTTGAGTCCATTCAGAGACACCTTAGCATAAAGGCCTGGTGACATGACCTTCGAACCCTAGTGGAGCGGTTCTGCCACTTGCGGTTCACGAATCAGGATCACTGGATGCTCACGTGTGTCAGGCCTTGATTCTGCAGGGTGTCAGATGGCTGGCTCTGGGGCAGGCAGAGCGCCAGGCCTGTCTTTCGAGGTGCCTCTAGTTTGGTGGGCTTGAACCACTAACCTTCCAGTCTGCATGTGAGCATGGCAGTCATCTGCATTGCTCAGGGGCTCCTCCGCCAATGAGAGCAAGCCATGTATGGGCCAAATGTTTCGTGGACTGAGGACTGAGAGGATCCAGTTCCCCGCACTTGAGGTTGACGCCCAACTAAGCCAAACCTCAGAGGACTGGCACCTTCTCTGCAAGGGACCCATTCAGCCCTGACCCCTGAAGACTATTTCCCCACCTGGCAGGCTTAGCAAACCTAGGAGAGGAGAAAAGAAGGGGAAAGATGGAGAAGGAGGGGGAGAAGGAGTGAGGATAGAGAAGGGGAGGGGAGGAATAGGGGAGAAGCAGGAAGTTGAGGGAGAGGGAAGGAGAAGAGGTGGGTGAGAAAGAGGAGGGGGTAACAGGAGGGGAGAAGAGACAGAAGTGGAGGGGGAAAAGGGGTAGGGGAAGATGAGGAAGGGAAGAAGAAGAGACAGAGATGGAAAGCAGTGGACTAGGGAGAGAGGGTAAGGAATGAGAGAAGGAGGAAGAGGAGAGAAAAGGGGGGTAAAAAGGAGAGGGGAACCCATGGAGCACAGCCACGTCCTTACCCTGTAGCTCACAGGGATGTCCCCTGCTTTGGTCCTAGGCAAAGGCACAGATCCTGGGAGCGGGGCAGGGTCAGGGAGCAGGCCTGGCGCTGCGGGAGGGACCCCCTTGGCCTTCCCATCAGTCCCTGGGTTGGCTGCGGCCGTTGTAGAGGCTTTGACGGGCTGAGACATGGCTCCCACCTGCAGCGTCTGCAGAGACAGAGGCAGGGTTAACCCAGCAATGGCAGGCGAGGTGCCTCCCGCTCCCACACCCTCATTTCTTCTCATGTTGTCAGACCCCTTCCAACTCATTCCCCTTCTTTCTCCTGAATTTGGAAGTATTTCCTGTCTGGGGTCCACTCAGCCCATACACTCTTCTTCTAGACCTTTGGCTCCACTGTTTCCACAGCCAAGAAGCCTCTTCCTTGTGCCCCCCCCCAGCAGAGCGCTACCTTCAGGCGCCCTGGGCCACACAGAGGGCTAAGGTGACAGTCTCAGAAGAGAGACCTGGCGGTCTCCTGGAAAATCCCAGTCCTTGAGACTTGAGTGGAGGCGAACCGCCATGACCTCCCAAGAGTCAGGACACTCTCCATGGAATTCATGTGGTGTTTTGCTCTTTGCTGTCCCCTTGTATTATTATTATTATTATTATTACTTTCATTCATGGCAGCAGGAGGTCGCCTCTGGGGATGCAGTCAGCCTCCCAAGCACCATCACATACTTACATGAGCTCCCTGGGAAGCTCTGGTGGCCTAGTGGGTAGGGAGCTGCGCTGCCAACCCAAAGGCACGGGGTTCAAATCCACCAGCTGCTGTGAGGGAGAAAGATGGACAATCTCCTCCCATGAGATTTACAGCCTCTGAAAACCCGCCGGAGGGTCAGCTATGTGTTGGTTTCAACTCAATGGCAATGAACAACAATGAGCTCTTTAAACCATGTGTTGGGTGCTGTCCAGCCAATTCTGACTCATGCAGACCCTAGAGAACAGAGTAGGACTGTCCCACAGGGTCTCCTAGGCTGTAATCTCTGTGAGAGCAGATCTCCAGGCCTTGTTGCAGACACACCAGTGGGCGGATTTGAACCAGTGACGTTTCTGTGGGCAGTTGAACGCTTACCTGTTATGCCACAGGAGGAAATGAGAAACTACCCTTTCACTGGTTCTATTCTTTCTGCCCGCTCTTGTCTCTGCCTAGCACTTGAAAAATGCTGAACATTTGCTCAAACAGTGAATGAGTGCACACTTCCGCCTCCTTCCCAAGGAACCTTCTGGAGAGGGTGTGCTGGGCCCAACCAAGGCTGGGGCCGTGGCCTAAAAGAGGGTCCAGGAGGATGCAGCCTTTGCACATCTGGGCATTGTGTCCCTGTGGGTATTGGGCGGAGTGGGCTTCGCACAATGACTGTCTTTGTTTGAGGTACACTTCCATCGTCACTGAGAGTGAAAAATGTCCTCTGCAATTTTGGAAAGGTCTCTGGGGGATTCAGGCCCTCGGACAGCTCAAATGAGGACCCTCCTGTCCACTGGGCTCCCGAGCACCATCTGCAGCGCAGCCTCCTCCCGCCTGTCCCCCACCCCGCCATAGGGCACTGACCTCTGCAGGCCACACACACATCTGGGTCCCCCTGCCTGTGCCTCATGCCTCTCCCACATCATCTGTGAGTCAGCACCCCCCTGGGTGCTCCCCAGATTCCCTCCGGCTGGGAGATGAGATGTGATGCTCTCATCTCTGCTTTCCCTCTATCTGTGTCTGTCTGTCTCTGCAATGCTCCCTCCATGTGTGTAATTATGTCTTCCTCTGTCTGTCTGTCCCGTTCTCTCTGTGTGTCTGTTTCTGCATCTGCCTGTCTTGTCACTTTTCTCTCTCTCTCTGTGGGTCTTTTTCTTTCCTGTGTCTTTATCTCTGTTTTCTTATCTCTGTGCACAACTTTGTCTCTTGTCTCTGTGTGTGTCTTTCTCTTGATACCTGTGTATCTTTTTCTCCTATGTGCTAGTGGGTGTGTTTTTCCCCCTGTGTGTGTGTCTCTCTTTCTCTCTCTCCTTTCTGCTTCCCTCTCTGTGTATCTATTTTTGTCTGTGAGTCTGTTCTATCTTTCTCTGCTTGTCTTTCTCTCTTTACTGTTCCCCACTCCATTCCCTCTAGTTCTCATAGTCTCTCTCTCTCATATATCTTTGGTTTTTATTCTCTCCCATGTCCTTTTCCCATCCCGAGCGCTGACTTCTCTCTGACCCCCTTTGCTGTCCTTCCTTTGCACCCACACCTCACGATTCCCCTCATCCTCCCCTCCCTTCAGCCTCCCAGGCAGGTGGACTCCCTCTTACCTGGGGACCTTCTACTTCAAGTTGAGAGTGGGCGGGTGGGCGGTGGTCTGGGTGACTGGGGCCGAGTGTCCGTTTTATAATCTGGCAGACACCAGGCCTGGCGTCAGTGGCACAAAGGGGGAGCTGGCTCAGCAGGCCTGATGGGGAGTGAGGATGGGCCTGGCCCCCCGGCTTAGTGCAGAGAGCTGCACTTTCCATTGTCAGCCTGGCAGGGGTGTGGAAACGCGCTGGGCAGCCAGCCACCTCCTGACCCGTCCGCCCTCATGCTGACCCCTACTCTCCCACCACATGGGCCTCCTTGCTGTTGCCACCTCCGGGGACCTGGGAGAAGACTTTCATTCAAATCCTGGCCTGCTTTCCTGGGGCTAGCAGATGTCTATGGTAGCCCAGTGGTTAAGCTTAGTAACCAAAAGGTTGATGGTTTGAATCCACCTGGTAGTGTAGTCCATAGCGAGTTGCACTGCTAACCCAAAGACTACATCTCTCTGTACTGGTTCAAATCCACCAGATGCTCCAGGGGAGAAAGATGGGCAGCCTTCTGTGTGCACTTTACAGCCTCTGAAAACCTGCTGGATGGTCAGTTATGACTGGTTCTGACTTGATGACAATGCATTCAGTTGTGCGGTTCTGCGAAAGAAAGGCCTGGTGTTTTGCTCTGTAAAGATTTCTACCTAGAAACCCCTTCAACGGCAGCTCTGCTCTGTCACGTGGGGTGGGGACAAGTTGAAAAGTCCAGTACACGGCCGCTCACAGCAACTGTGCTCTTCGTGGGACTCTGTCCTGTGTCTGCAGAGACAAAGGGACACCTCCGTCCGCTTGGAGAGACGAGGAGGAAGGCAGTGCCTGTGGAAGGGGGGTGTGGCATGCTAGTGGCCACCCCACTCACCCAGTGCTTGGTGCCAGGCGTCCCTGTGGAAGGCACTTTGCTGTCAGTGGAAAGACTGGAGGTTCAAGTTTACCCAGTGGAGCCTCAGAGGAAAGGCCTGGTGATTGCGTCTGAACAACCAGCCTGTGGCGCACACGGGGTGTGCATTCAGACGCTCTCGATGGCAACTGGATCTTCTGGTTTTCCAGGTGCGAAGCTGACCACCAAAAGCTTTATCCTTAACAGCTCAGTCAACGCTCAGGACAGCCTGGCTTATTCGGTACTTTTGTTATATCCATTTCACAGATAAGAAGGACGCAGCCTGGCTCCAGCATCTCAATTCCAGAAGTGGCTCAGAGGCAAATGGATTTTCCAGGTCCAAATGCTTTATCCTTATATCAGCTCGATCAACACTCAGGACAGCCTGGAATATCCAGTACTTTCATGATACCCATTTCACAGCTAGGAAGCATGAGGCCTGGCTCCGGGATCTCGATGCTCAACTCTCACGGGGTGGACAACGGCGTGGGCCTGGTTTCCTGATTCTGCATGGGATTCTGCGTGGGTGGGTTGAGCATTAAGACATGGGCCTCCCCTGCATTACCCCGTATCCGCGGTTTGCTTTCTACCTGCAGTCTCTCAGCTGTTCAACCCAGAGATGGAGCTGGACCCCAGTTGTCTGACCCCCACGACAGACTTAGAGCCTTAGCTACCCCCGCCCCAGGGATGGAGCTGGCCCAGGGAGGTGACTTCCTGGAGTCATGACATGTGCTCACCAGTGCGTGCTCATCTCCACACAGGGAGGCAGACGGCAGGGCCCCTGGCAGCACTGGGTAACTAGATGGCCAGGCTGATGCGCCGTGATAAAAGGAGGGGTGCAGAGGGAGAAGGAGGCCAAGGAGATGCGTGAGAAACAGGAAGAGGTGGAGGGAGATTAGAAAGAGAAAGGTCTGAGTGTAGAGGAGGAGGTGAACAGTGAAAAAGAAAGATAGAGACAGATACACACAGAGACATACACAGATGCAAAGCCACAGAGGGCATGCACACAGGGTACAGGAGGGGAGGATGCACAGTGAGAGAGACACAGATGCACACACATGCAGGGATACACCCTACACAGACAGAAAGACATACACAGAGCATTGAACTGGGAAACGGACAGTGAAGGAGAGACATATACAGAGCATAGAACGGGGAAGTGGACAGTGAAGAAGAGAGAGAGAGAGAGAGACACTCAAAGACACTCAGATGCACACACTCAAACACTCATGTGTACGTACAGCCAAATATACCCACAGACATATACACAGAGATACTCCATACGCGCCCACACACAAACACACACAGATACTCCATGCATACACAGATGTCCACATGCACACACATTCTCACACACACACACACACACACACACACACACACACACACACACAGTCTCCATCCACAGACGCCTACATGCACACACAGACATTCACACACACACTCACTGGGTGCAGAAGGGAGAGGGAGACGGTGAAGCAGACAGATACAGGGATAGACAGAGACACATAAAGAGACTTTCAGAAATACAAAGATAAACACACAATAGACCCAGACAGGCACATTCGCCTAGAGACTCCGTCCCAGAGAGAGACACAGCCAGGTAGACAGACAGAGACAGAGAGCAGAGAGATATGTAGATATGGAGAACCAGACACACAGATAAAGAGGGATGTACAGACGCATCCAGGGAGAGGCACACAGGAAGTGAGACCCAGACACATACCTGCAATACACACACACACACACACACACACACACACACTCACTCACACACAGAGGTTGTGCTAGAGTTCTAAGGCTTTAGGACAATGTGGCACCCCTCAGACATGGTTCTGTTTGACTTTCCCCTACAGGCGGAGCAATGGCGGTCAGGCGGATGAGGGACTTTTAACAACCTCAAAGAAGTGCACTAGCAGGAGAGTGGGCTTCTGGGACCCAGGAGGATTCTCTCTTTTGACCTAATGTGGG